ATCACAGCGAAAACTAGAAACATCATATTTTGTAAACAAACTAGGAAATAATTTTTTTAGCTAACCAAAGGAAGCATGCCCTAGACGTCGATGCCACGGCCAGATTTCAGATTTGTTTCTCTCCCCCTCAGAACCATCCACTGCAATGCTTATCGTAGCTTGTCGGAACTTTTGGATATTAAGTTCAAGTAATACATTTTCCCTCATCTAATACCACAACCAAGCGTCTGCTTTGTTTGGATGTCCTTAAACACACAAAAATCAGGCCAAAAAATAACAATACAAGATAAAGCTGTGGTTATTTGGGAAACTGACAAAAGATTAGATCTAAAGATGGAACAACTAAAACAGAATCTAAATATAGATTATCAGTGAGTGTAAAAGATCTTTCCCTAGTAATTGGGGTCGAAGTCCCATTAACAATAGAAACAAATTTGTGTGAGGATGAATTAAGAGGTGAAACCTGTCTAAAATCAAATGTCATATGATCTGTGGTACCAGAATCAATTATCCATGCACTATTAGCAACATGTGTAGAAATATTGAAATTCTTACCACCAGTATTTGTTGTCTTAACAACTACTGCAGTGGAGGTCTTTGTTGAATTCTTCTTCCAACGGCGATAATTCCACCATTCCGGATATCTCACAAGTTTGAAACATCGACTTTTGGTATGACCAATCTGGTTGTAATGAGTGCATTTATAAGTAGACTTGTCTGCTCCAAATGATTCAATATTTTTTTTTTTTGACTCATTTTTATTTTTAACCAGCAGTAGAGCTCGGCCGTGAGCTCCGGTTGAGGAAGGCGACCGGCGGTGGCGGGTCGTCAAGAGATTGGTGGCGCTGCGACGTGATGTAACGGTTCAGCAGTGAAGGTGCAGCGATTCGTCGTTGGTTTGGTGAGTTGCCGGCAGGCAACGGTGCCAGTTCCAGATTCGGCGATGACAGATAGCCGGCAGGGGTCGGCGGTTTGTGATGGGTCTGTTGTATGTGTATGGGTATGTGTATGTGTATGGGTCTGTGCATGGGTCAATGAATTTCAAAAAAATAATTTCAAAAAGATTCAGAGGAACAGTTCAAGGATGGCTCTGATACCATCTTCAAATACAGAGAATTAAAAACTTTATCCGATAATTCATTGATAAGTATTATATCCAATTTATAGAATAGGATTAGCTAAAATAAGTAGCTAATTACCTATCAATTAGCTTTAAATCAAGAAGTAAATAGTTCAATCCTACAACTGTATTATAAGAGATAAAATCTCAACAATATATAAGAAAATATAAACCAAGGGGTACATATTTCCATTTCCATTTCAATACGTTATTATTAGATTTTTAAAAAGAAGGAAAAAAGAAAAAGAAAAAAAAGAAAGCAATAAATCAAAAGATCACTTTGTTTGTTTATGCTTTTCTAGTTTGTCCTCATATATTAGCAAATACAGGGAAAGTGCTTTGGGTGGTCAGTGTGACCACGTGCATGATTTTATGCATCTTTGCGTGCAATTAGGGTGGATTCAGAAATGTATAATGGGTGGTTGGACTAATCTATTTTGGGATGGACTTCAGCTCCTGAACCTGCTCTTGATATGTATTACTTAATTTTTACCTTTGTTGGTAAAGATATATGCACACAAAAACTAGAAGATGAAGTGCATAGAAGTTTTTTTATTATTATTTTTTCTTTCGGAAATTACATAGAAGTTTCTTTAAACTATTCATTTCCTTGTTTTTATCGAAAATATATAAATTATTTTCTTACAAATATTTAACTAATCCTATGATCCAGTTGATTATTTTAATAGTAATCAGTGAATGAATAAAATCAGAAATGATCCATAAAGGAAGTTGGACTTTTCTTTTCCTACCCGAATCACATTTGTATCGTCATATTTTTCTTGCATTTGTTGCCCACTATTAAATCCAATTGAACTGAATTAGGGCTCGTTTGGGAAGAGTTGTGTGGTATACTATAATGCTCTAGTCTAGAATAGAACAAGTGCTGTGTAGTGTAGTGTTCTGAAAGGAGAACAAAATATGTTTGGCGACGAAAATTTACTTTGAGAATTTTGGAATAGAAATTAATATTGTTTTTTTTAAATGATTAAAATAAATTAATTACTTCACTTGATTAGTTTGCAAAACAAGAATTACAGAGCTTGATTAGTTGATTTATTAGAAAAAAAATTAAAATAAAACCCATACACACAGACTTGCAGTTGCATAGAGAGAGAGAGACTAGGGCAATTGGGAGGCTGAAATAATTTATCCTAAAATTGGATTTGCAGAGTTGAGAACGAGAATAAAGATGGAGGCGTTTGGGAGGTTGAAATGATTTGCCCTAAAAAAAATTAAAACAAAACCCATCCATGTTTGCACTTGCAAAGAGAGAGAGAGAGAGAGAATAGAGATGGAGGCGTTTGGAAGGCTGAAATTATTTGCCCTTAAAAAAATTAAAACAAAACCCATCCATGTTTGCACTTGCAGAGAGAGAGAGAGAGAGAGAGAATAGGGATGGAGGCATTTAGAAGGCTGAAATTTGCCCTAAAAAAAAATAAAACAAAACCCACTATTGCACTTGCAGAGAGAGAGAGATCGAGAATAGAGATGGGAGGCATTGGAAGGCTGAAATTATTTGCCCTAAAAAAAATTAAAACAAAACCCAAGTTTGCAGTTGTAGTTGCAGAGAGAGATCGAGAATAGAGATGGCGGCGTTTGGAAGGCTAAAATGATTTGCCCTAAAAAAAAATTACAACAAAACTCATACAAGTTTGCAGTTGCAGAGAGAGAGAGATCGAGAATAGAGATGGAGGCGTTTGGGAGGCTAAAATGATTTGCCCTAAAAAAAATTACAACAAAACTCATACAAGTTTGCAGTTGCAGAGAGAGAGATCGAGAATAGAGATGGAGGCGTTTGGGAGGCTGAAATGATTTGCCCTAAAAAAAAATAAAACAAAATTCATACAAGTTTGCAGTTGCAGAGAGAGATCGAGAATAGAGATGGAGGCGTTTGGGAGGCTGAAATGATTTGCCCTAAAAAAAATTAAAACAAAACCCATACAAGTTTGTAGTTGCACAGAGAGAGATTGAGTATTGCTTAGTTCCAGAGTTTAGAACGAGAATAGAGACGAAGGCTATTGAGGCTGAAATGATTTGCCCTAATAGAAATTTTCTAGTATTGTTTCAACTTTTGGACCAAATATTGGGTTTGTTCTGAAAGTGTTCTATTACTGTTGAGAAAACAACAAGACGATGTTGAAGTTTGGTAGGCCTACTTTTTTGGCATTGGCCTACCAATATCACCCTACAATTATCTTAACTGCAAGTAATCCCACTTGATTCATTATCTACTCCTTATTACTAGTATTTTTTATCAGTTTTCATGGTACAATATCCATAATGTTTTTTTGTTTTTTTTTTTTTTTTTTTTTTTGGTCAAGTGCAATACCCTTTGTTCAAATATAAATATCTTTTGTCAAGTTGGGATAAGTCCACAAAATACATGGTGACACAATGGGTCAGTGTGTTGTTGACTCTTCACTAAATTAACATATATATATATATATATATATATATATTGTCCGTTGACAGTAAAACACTCATTTAAAATTATTTTTTATAATGAATATTCTATCAAAAATTGAAGCTGCGGCACTGTTAACTCGCCTTCTATGTACCAGTTTCGAATCTTGGCCTGTGGTTTAAGGTTTAAGCCCCAAACCAAAAGGGTGCAAGGTGAGAAGCAGTGACATATGACAACTTTGGTTTCACCACAGGTACAATAAGAGGACTAATATATACCTTTGTTTTCCTTCTCCAATCACAATGTTAAGTCGGTGTAAATTTTGGACTTGTATAACAATATTGTTCTACAATGCATGATCTTACTATAGATTGAGCAATAAAATGACGCTGTGATTGCACGTGCACTTCCCAAATACACTAACGCTATGATTGCAAATGAGCATCTTGCAACACGATCATTGAATTTAAATTTCTAAAAAAATGAAGTGTGAAATATCTTGTAAAGTCTTAATATCATTCCCAATTTAGTAAAATTGATTCTTGTATATTGAATAAGATTCATTATATTCTAAAATTATTTAACCCAATAATACTACTTGGATAAATTCTTGTTATTCGGACAACACAACCTAAAATCATTCCTTTTTTTTTTTTTTTTTCCAAAAAATATGTGATTCATGTAATCATGTGAATATACTTGTGGCGCTACTCAATATCACCCATCAATCAAAACTTTAATCGGACGGCTGACAACCCTCGGCCGATTGGTTTCTCTTCAAAGCAGTCAACCAGTTTAAATAAACGGTCACAATAAGAACAATCATGATTTGTGGTGATGAAAATGATGCTGGAGTAATTATTCTATGGTAAGAGAAACATAGACTAAAAATACTCGTGTTTAGCATTGGAGTTAGTGGGGAAAAGGCTCTCTGAGTCAGAGAGAGAGGAACCTGCCATTCTTGGCTCTTATGCTCTCTCCCTCCTCAATTTTCTCCCTCCTAATTAAGTTGGAATCTCTCGGTCTCTCTCTTAGCACTTTTGTCTTCTTCTCTCCCTCCTCTTTCGCTGAAGAACCAGAAGGTGAGAAAATAAATAGAAAAATGAAAAGTATTACAATCTTTATATAACATATGAATATTCTATTCATATCTTTTATATAGTATTTAATTTTATTATTATATAATATTCTATATATTTATACACGCATACACTACATACACACATACATATATATATTATTTGTTAGGAATTAAAACTAGGAAAAAATATTTTAATTTAATAACCTCATTTATAAGCTGTTATATATTTTTCTATCCATTTTTTATTACATATCATTTATAGGCATGTTAATGAAAAAAAAAATTAAATTTTTTTTTTAATTATATACTAATAATTTGACCCTCACAACTCTATATTTCTGGCTTGACTGCTTGAGGTTCACGCATAAAAGATTGACTGGTCAAGCACTTCGTTACACGCTGCGGGCCAGTCTCCCAATTGAACCATTAAATTATATAAAATTGTTCAAAGCAGAACGAAAAGATACATTCAGAAAAAATATTCTATATAAACCCCATGGCTTAACCAATCTTTCCCATATCCTTAATTCCTCCCTTCCCATCACTTCTCTCTTTTTCTCTCACCTCCAACCTCTTCTCTCACTAAAACCATCTCTCTCTCTGGAGATCTGCATTTGGAGTTGACTGGTTCTCTCGTTACTATTCAGGTATAATAGAATCATCTCTTGTAATTTTTCGTTCTAATCTCTATTTTCTTCTCAAAGTAGTATAGTACGTTCATGCTTATTAACGTTGATTTTTTCTTTTTGATATTTATTCCCCCATGATTGTATATGTATTCCATATATAACTATGAAGGTATATATATATATACACATTGGTTTTCGTACGTTCATGCTTATTAACGTTGATTTTTTCTTTTTGATATTTATTCCCTCATGATTATGTATGTATACCATATATAACTATGAAGGTATATATATATACACATTGGTTTTCGTACGTTCATGCTTATTAACGTTGATTTTTTCTTTTTGATATTTATTCCCCCATGATTATATATGTGTTCCATGTATAACTATGAAGGTACATATATATACACATTGGTTTTCGTTAATCGAAAGTGCTGAGAGTAATTTGGTATATTTGACCTTTGGCATTACGTCCTTGAATTTGCTTTTTAGCAGCCAAGATTCACCATCATATTAAATAACGTCCCTTATAAAAGAAAGATCTGAATTAGTAAAGAGTGTGATTGATCAAATAATTTCTTCAATTGCTGGTGTAGCTAGTTTTGGGTGGTCCAGTAGACCACACGTATGACTATAGTAGACAGTAGTTAGTCCAACCATGACAACCTTAATTTGAGCACAATACAGAAAAAAATAATAATAAATAAAATAAAATAAAAAATTATAGTGGAATCTATGCCCCCACATAAGAAGCTCCACTTTATGTAGGAACCTTCGGGTGGCTTCCTTAGTTAGCTTCATTTATGCAAGAAAAGGCAAAGTGCTTCACCTATCTCCTCTTGAGTTAACAAACTCCCCAAGCCCCAATTTTACTTGTCCTTGGACGGTGTTTTTTGTTTGTGAAAACATTATATTATTGTGTATATTGCTTTACAACTAGGCACGGATTCATATCTATTGTGGCAAATGAGGGAATCCCTCACATATTTTTATATTTTGGGACTCTTAGAAATTTTACCTTGTGTCATTATCATTATTAAAAAATAATCAGTCTAAGAATCATTTTCTCACCGAACTCTCTTTTATTCTCTTTATAAATTGCGTGAACGCCAAAACATAGATTCTCTGTAAATACAATTCCATCGGCTCTGCATTTCTATATGTGTCCTCATTCAAATAATTTTTGAAAATAATATTCGTAGAGAGAGTGTGATTGATCAAATGATTTATATTGCTCTTAGTTGGTCGGTCCAATTAATTTACAGTGTTCAAAGTAGTCCAGTATGGTTGCGGAAAAGAGATTTGCTCTCAAAGTGAACATCCAGTGCTGTACTAGATGTCCAGAAATTGTGAAGAAGGTACTGGACAAGGCTGATGGAGTGCGTTCAATTGACATTGATACAAATGAAGGGACGGTCACAGTCACAGGCACAGGCACGGTAGAACCGAAGTCAACCATAAAAGCGCTTAAAAAGAAGGGCAAGATAGCAGAGGTGTTGTGGGAGGAATTGCACTCCTCCTCCAAGAGTAGTAGCGATGATCAGCTGAAGATTGTACCAGCCAAACCACTTCATCACAACCCACACACCGCACCAGAACTGCAGCAATTGTCCAAAAACAATCAAGGGTATGTCCACATTCTAAGAGTGTTTAATTCATCACAACCCACACACCGCACCTTGGCATGACTACTGCCGAGGAAAAAAAAATTAGTCACTCATCCCAAGGCCACGACCATGATCACCTTGAGTTGAAAAGCTATAACAAACCTTTCAGATGCAGTGGATGCAAGGAGCCAGGTCTTGGACCTAGACGCAGATGTGACTCCTGCGACTATGAACTTCACAAGGAATGTTGGAAACCCCAACACGAAATATCCAATGAATTTTTCAAAGGATGCACCTTCAAATTCTTTGATAGACTGTCAAGGAGAACCTGTGATGCTTGTGGGAAGGACATATGTGGCTTTGGTTACCACAGCGAAGCCAAAGGCAAGTCACTGGACCTGCACCCTTGTTGCAGCAAACTCAGAAGTAAGATATTTATAGATGGTAATGAATTTGAGCTTCGTGACAAGGTGTTATTAAAATGCAAGTGGTGCAACAACAAACATCTTCATGGCGACAAAACCAGCATTTCGGGCTGGTCTTACATTTCTGCTCCCAAGAAATGTCACTACCATGTGCACTGCGTGACTGAAATGGTGGAACAGGCATGGAAGCAGGGGTTCATCGATAACATTGATTCTGTGGCATTAGAGAAGACGGATCCACAGCTCCTACATAATTCGAATAGGAATGATGGAAAAAGAGATGGTGATCAGATCAGTGGACAAACATCGAAGATATTCCTCAAGACCATAGTTGGTGTTCTTTTGGGGGATCCAACCGCGACTCTTCTGTCTCTGCTCGTGAATCTGCTTATATCGTAAAACATGGAGCAGAGATGCAAGACACGCCATGAACAATTTATCAATGTCTTTTGTTTAATTGTTTGTTTATTTATTTATTTTGGATTTGTCTTTATGGTTGCTTATGTTGGCTTGATGACCAGTGGCTATTCAGTGATTTGGATATTGTATGACCTTATCAGCTATAATTATATGTAATTCAGGGGAAGTACTGGTAATTAATGTTGGTCACATTTCTTGGAGATCATTGGAAACCGTCTTTTACATTTCAGAAAGGTTTTTTTTTTTATTATTTGGCATAGGTTTACGATGATGATGAGAAAAAAGGAAATAAATTTATTTAAACCACTCATGTTTTTGTAAAAAATTATTGCAAAAATGACAAAGTTGTTTGATTGTTGCTTACAATAAGTCATGAAAGGCACCAATTAGAATGGGAATTAAGCACAACTTCTTTACACTTTTTTTTTTTTTTCTCTCTCTCTCATCGATCGCCATCAGCAGTTCTTGGTAACTTCCATGCAGGTTCTTGGCTTTCAAAGAAAATGGTTTTTTTTTTTTTTTTTTTTTTTTTTTTTTTTTTTTTTTAAATAATACTAACAGTTTCAATTTCAGAAAACACAAAGAAAGACATGGTTCAGAAAAAATTATAACTGAAGGATTTATTTATTTATTTTTTAAAATAAAAGAATAAAAACGAAAATATTCTAGTAATTCTTCTTAGCAAGTGTCATAAAAGAAAACCACGCAATAGGAGGCAGGCAAAAAAAAAAAAAGAATTATCTCAAGTTGCATGAATGAACCCCAAAAAGGAAAAGAGCTGAAAACTATCATAACACTATCATCCCATTAAACGAACAAATTTGAAGTAATAAAATGAAAAAAAAAAATTTATGTACTAAGTACCCAATATGACTAACCAATAAAATAATTATCATTTTCATAATGAAACCTCAATATGATGTATATTTTTTCCTATGAGAAAAGTGGTACCCACAGGGCCAACGCCAAAGGGAAAGAAAAGAAGCTCTTTTCTAAAATGTGAATATAAAAGCTTTCATCAAAGAGTTCTTTAAGACAAAAGCCATAAGAAAAATAAAAAATAAATGAAACCCCAAAAGATAAGACCTCATTTTTAAAAAAACAAATGAGTGAAAGGAACCCAAATTAAATTGGGCTCCCTCCGCCATTTCAACCTCATTCAAGTCTTTTGGAGAAATTAAGTAGTAGTATATCATTTCTATTGATCTTTGACCAATTAATTAATTTCAGTGATCATCAAGTTACTCATCTATGGTGGCGGAAAAGAGTTTTGCTGTGAAACTGAACATCCAGTGCGCATGCGATGGATGTGTGGGAAAAGTCAAGAAAGTGCTGAAAAAGACTAAAGGAGTGCATTCAAATACCATTGATGCAAATGAAGGGATGGTTACCGTCTCAGGTACCGCGGATCCACACACCCTCTTAGAAGCGCTTAGAAAGCATTTCAAGACAGCAGAGCTTTTGCCGGAGCAATTCGACTCCAGGAGCATGCAATTTGTACCAGCAAAACCAGTTCATGGAGTTCATGACCACCCACATACAGCACCACAACTGCAGCAATTATCTGAAAATAATGATCAAGTGTCTACATTAATGTAAGAATTTTTTTTTCTTTATTTTTTTTCCTAGTTGGTACTCACACACACATATCTCTACTGAGACTTGAACCATTGACCTCCCTTTGGGAGGTAAGAGGCTGATACCGCTAAGTCACTGGCCCGTTGGTAATTTTTATTTATTTATATTCTTGCACAAATCATGACAAGCACATATGCATCTAATTAATGTTAATGGATACATTAGACTAACCTTCTTCAAAACTGGACCTTTTTCTATATGTTCTGGATTACAGACTTCATTGGTCATCTACACCCCCCAACTCTTCTTTTCTTTTTGTTCTCTTGATTATAGGAAAGCATCTGCTGCTGCTGCTGAAGATGATGATGACAAAGACGACCACCACGATGATGATAATGATGAAGATGATTCCCTTGCCATGAGTACTACAAAGGAAAAACAAACTAGTCACGAGCATGACCTTGAATTGAAAAACTATAACAAACCTTTCATATGCAGCGGATGCAAGGAGCTAGGTTTTGGACCTAGATTCAGATGTGAGTCCTGCGACTATGAACTTCATAGGGAATGTAAGGAATATTGGATCTCCAAAAGCGAAATTTCACTTGAATTTTTTGAAGGGTGCACCTTCAAATTCTTTGATCAACTCGCAAACAAAATCTGCGATGCTTGTGGGAAGGACATATGTGGCTTTGCTTACCACAGCGAAGCCAAGGGTAAATCATCACTGGATCTGCACCCTTGTTGCAGCAAGCTCGAAAGCAAACTATGTATAAATGGTTATGATTTTGAGCTTCATTACGAGGTGTTATCGAAATGCAAGTGGTGCAACAAGAAAGATCTTCAGGGCAGCAAAACGGGCACTAATATTTCGGGCTGGTCTTACATTTCTGCTCGCAAGAGGTGTCACTTCCACGTCTATTGTGTGAAATGGTGCGTGAGGCATGGAGGCAGGGGTTCATTGATCACATTGATTCCGTGGCATAAGAGCAGGCTGGATACACAGCTTGTAGTAAATTGGAATAGGAATTCGAATAGGAATGATGGAAGAAGAGAGAGTGATCATCAGTTTAGTCGGCACACAACGAAGATGTTCCTCAAGGCCATAGTTGGTGTTCTGTTGGGGGATCCAACGATGCTTCTTGCTTCTGTCCTGGTGGATATGTTTACATAATAAAACACGGAGCGCAGATGAAGACATGCCATAAAATTTTTTATTTATTTTTTGTTATGTAGATATGGCATAAAGAGTTTGTCAGTGTCTTTTGTACATTATTATTAATTTTTTTGTTACTTTTATATATGTGATTTTGTGAAATTTTACAAAATGCCCTCCCTCCCTTTTTGATAATCCATGCCTTGTTTTGTGTCCTTCTTCACACTTCTTTGATTCTCTTCAAAATAAATAAATAAATAAATAATTGCATTCTCCCTCTTCAATCAAATCCTAATCGTTCTTCCATTCAACGTCTTCTCATTTTTCTTTTCTTTATTCTTTCTCTTGGCCTTTTTTCTTTTGTCTTTTTTTAAAAAAAAATCTTGTACTCATGTATGATGTATCTGTAGTATAATATTCTTTTCTTTATCCTTGTTTTTGTTTCTTATTCAATTTTTTTTTTTTTTAGTTGGTACTCACACACACATGCCTCCATTGAGGCTTGAACTCTTGATATCTCTAGACCACTGGCCAGTTGGTATTATTGTAAAATTTTATGAAATTAATGTTTGTATCTTATGTTTCCGAATTGTTTTTTGCAGCAATTTATTGTTTAACGCAACAACTAATTTAGTTTTAGATAAGCTTAACTTGTAACTTTGTACACCTTCATAATTGTGACTTAAAAAATACCTAGAAAAAGTCACTTTTTACTCAAAACTCTCATTTCCATTCAAAGTTTCTAACTTCATACATTAAAACACTCTTGTGACTTCCAAGGCACCTCGAATAAGGTCATTTTTAAGTCAAAACTCTGGTTTTCATTCAAAGTTTCTAACTTTATAAATTAAAACACTCTCTTGAATTCAATGCAACCTTGAATAAGGTCATTTTTAACTTAAAACACTCATTTTCTTTTACCGTTTCTAAATTATACATTAAAACACTCTCGTGACTTCAAAGGTTACTTGAATAAGTCATTCTTAACTCAAAACAATAATTTTCATTCTTCATCTATTATTATTGGAGTGATCCTTATTTCTCTGAAATATCCCTAATATAAATGAACAAATTGAGATTAATCAAAATTTTAAATGCAGATAAAAATTATCCAAAATTTGAAGCGCATCAGTGAAGAATAAAAAGCAAATAAGACGCAGGGTATCAATTAGGAAATGGATGGAGAATATTTAAAATTAGTGGAGCTCTCTCAATTGACTTAGAAAAAGGCACTATCTATTTGACATTGTAATGCCATTTTCTGAGCAAAGTATTTGTATGAGAAGGGCAATGCATATTTTCAAATGAGTTAAAACCACTTGGAGAACAAAATTAACTTAAATAGCAGCTTACCTGTTCCTCGAAGAAACGAACAAATGATTTTGATCCAGCACAGTGAGGAATCTTTAAGAACGCCGATTCCCTGCAATATATATTTTTTAGTTTGTCACACATTGCTATTTTTTTTAAATAATAATTATACTAGAATTACAACAAAAATAAGAATGAAGGTATATGACTGCACATGGATATGAGTTGCAGCATATGAAGGTCATCAATAAAAAAACCTAACAGAGGTCTAATCAATTAAGCAAGAAAATGTAGAATAATAACAGAGCACTTGCAAATATCAAAATTTGATACAGTAAACAATGCTAAAGCAAACATAACAAGCTTTCAGCTTTCAACAACTACTGAAATTGAAAAAAAAACATGCAAAAATTGAAGTAAAATTGATGTTTTCTTCTAATTGACAGTACCGAAAATATCCGCAAACTAACTTACAAGGAATTGAGTTCTCTCGATTATTGAATTCACTCTAATTTGTCCATTAGAGTCTTTAATATAGTACTTCTGTCGAAGATTTGATAGATTATTGCATTACAAGGCCGATCTCATCTTATTTTAATAATTAAAAAAAAAATGTGTTCCAATCTGTGACTGTGTGACAATAAGCAGTGAAAAATAAAAATACATTGCAGATTCACTCCAAAATCTTCTATCAGAGTAGGGATAGAGACAATTCCAAGAAAAAACAGAGGGTTGAAGAGCAATTCTCATCAGTGATGCAATAATTCTATCATGCAATCTACTAATAATATACAAAAAATAAAATAGAAACAAAAGCTAACACGCAATGAATTACACAAGAAACCAGAAAATCACTAAATAGATCAAAACCTAATACATCAATAAGTTCAACCATCAAGAACTAAATCAACAAAAAAGGCAAGAATCAAGTCAAATCAGTCAAAATTTTCTAGCATTGAGTCCTCACAATTGGATCTGTGTGAACACTTCCGGGAAACGAAGAAAGAAGCTCGGTTCAGTGAGGGAGACCATTGAACAGAATGTAGGTGGGTTAGTGTGAGATGGAGAGAGAGAGAGAGAGAGAGTACGAGCTATAAAGGGGGTTTGTTGTGCAGTGCCGGTAGGTAGGTGGGTAGTTAAAAGTAGAAATGCACATATGG